GAAAGTTGTATGCCAAGGTATTGATCGAAAGAGTGATGGATGTGACTGAGCGTAAAATCTGGGATGTGCAAGCGGGATTTCGAAAGGGAATGGGGTGTACGGATCAAGTCTTTTCGTTACGGTTCATTTCAGAGAAAGTGTTATCAAAGCACCAAAAGGTATTTTGTGCCTTTATAGACCTAGAAAAGGTTTATGACAGAGTGGTGAGGGATGAATTGTGGTCAACTCTGTCCATGTATGGGGTGGATAGCCACCTGATTCGGGCACTTAAATCCTTATATAAGGACTCGAGTGCCGTTGTCTGAATAAATGGGGACTACACAGAGTGGTTTAAAATTAATCGAGTTGTTAGGCAAGGCTGTGTAGCATCTCTTTGGCTGTTCAACCTATTTATGGACAGTTGTTTGAAAGACGGGGATGTCTATTCTTTAAATTAAGCCTAAGGAAGAACGAACATCACTAATATTATTAGTGAGTATTTGATTTAAATTTAAAAATACCTACTCGTCATTCAAAGAATAGTCTGTCAATCTCATCGCTTGACCCACGCTGTCAAACATCCGATTAGCGTATGCCACATGCCTGTGGACAGAGTGCACAGTGTCCGCAGCGGTAGGCGCATTTTCAACGACTTAGGTACTGACGTTTGGGACAAACAAGTTACGACCACTTTGTCCGAAATTACATATTTTAATTATAATATACATTCGATGACGAAGCTTGGAACTACTTGAAATAATCAAAGCGTTTGGTACTATGTATTAGATAAAAAAATAAAAACGGTGTTTTTAAAAAACTGACTTAAAAAACCAAAACCTAAAAACAAGCAAAAGGTAAAAACTATAAAACAAAAAATAACTATTAAGTATTAGTCATACGGACTTTTAAGTTAATAAAAAATCAACCGAATTAAAAAAATTAAGTTTACTCAGTAAACATTAAATCAATTTCAATAATTAACGAATCAACTAAAATAAAAATATGTCAATTGGACTAATCATTCAAATTAGCCTTAAGTACACGTTTTTCGAACATTACAGTTTGTAGAATTAATACTACATAATTATATTTTTTATAAAAACATCAAGTGTCCGCACATGCAGCTATAATTATATAAAATAAATACTTAGTAAATAACAACATGAAGAGATCAATATTACTTAAAGTCGTAGTCGTCCCGAATTACCTATTTTGTCTGCGCGGACGCCGGGGCTCCGGTAGCGGCCGGTCTGTGTGTAGGTATAGGTAAGGGTGTGTGTTTACAAAACAAACATGCGGAGGCTTAAGACCGTATATAATATATATATACGAATGTGGAAAAGATTTTGTGTGGTACCTATGGCATGAATGTGGGATTGTGATTTCTATATAAAAATATAATATTACAGTTATATCTATGACATGCTTCACCTTTTTTACAATATGCGATAATAATTATTTTAAATTTGCAGTTATGATGAAGTCGGTAAAAATAATCTCGTAATCGATCACGATTACGATCTGGAATACTAACTAATAATAATTGTAGTTAAAATTCCAAGGTAGGTACCTAATCCTATTCATCTTATGAACATAATATATATACCTAGTAAATAATCAAAGTTTAGGTAAGTACCTACCCTAACGAACGATACCCAATGACTGGTTTTATGTAGGTATGTAATATAAGTAAACAAACATTACGATGTTCTTAGGTACACACCTACCTAGGATATCCGAAAGTTTAGATAGGTACGTACCGAATAATAAGATAAATGTTATACTTAGGTATCTTATAGCTACAAGATAGATAATTATGTACCTACATACCTACCAATTACATTTAGGGTATAGTTTGTATAAGTAGTACCTATATTGTATCTATACTCACTGACCGGTCAAAGTTTACAATGATTTGGTAATATTGTGTAACTTACGTTTCGAATAATAAATAAATTAATAAGATAGGTACAATACTTATTTTATTATAGCTGAGCATCCAGTTACTAAATATGTAGAAACATTACTTTCCTTGGAAAATGAAAAAATGAAAAAATGAATAAAACGCATATACTCATTAGTACTTTTATCTCAATCCATATACTGCATTTTTACGTTTCCGCCTCATAGTTAATAGTTACACGACTATTATATAGTTATTAGATAGGTACGGTACACACAAATCATACAACGGTGGCGTAGTTTAGTTGCAGCAGTGACACGAATAAACAGGTACACAGGCGCGCGTTTTTCGCTTGCCGCTGCTCCACTCCGAGGCGTGGGGCCCCTCGCACCACACCCCGCACACTCCTAGCTTTACGTCTCGCAACGGTCAAATCTAATTTTTTCGGTACCGTTATCGCATAAAGGTTAAATACCGGTATAGCTTTAATTTCGGTACACTTATTTTATACCGGTACCGTACCGTTATACCTTAACCGCTTTCAGTCCCTGCCTTATGTTACAATCGTCTACGATGACCAAAAGGTTAATTGAAAATGATTTTTTATATAAATACTAGTAAAAGTATTACTTACAATACTGACATGTTCCGACTCAAAAACTACATCTAAGTATGTTTAAAAGTGAGTCGTACAAACCATAAGACTATTGTTCTAGACAGAACTGAAAATTCACAGGTCAATGACCAGTATAAGATTATTATAGGTACAGTTACATAAGTGCTCGTAGCAACAAGCCGCTACGTTTAACTGCAGCAGTTCATGAAATACCCTTTAAAACGAGGTAAATTACCGTTACTGCAAACTGTAACCATCGCTTCCTCTTCATTTATATCGCGGTTTAGATTAGTACCGAGAAATTGACGCATTTTGAGCTTCATAATTCTTAAAATAGTTACATCATATTACGCTAACTTTTGAAAAGACAGTCTGGGCTGGATACTAGGTGCGGCCAGTGTTATGGAGTATTTATTACCATTATTCGCTACTGCCAATCTTTGTAAGAGTACCTATTAAGAAATCTTACACACGTGACCTAAAATACTTTTTTTTAATCAGAATAAGCTCGTTCAGCTTACCCTAGTCCTGACAATTAGACCATCGAAGAGACACACTTTCAAATAAATAGCGTTTGTAAATAAGAGCAGTATTTTATAAAGCGTTACAGCATTTATCAAGAGCTTTTAACGAATCTTATAAAAGTAGTGAACATTTACTATTTTACACTATTATATCGGAGTGGAAAAATTACAAGTCATTAGTCAGCCGTGCCATTGGAATCTGGTGTGAAATTATATAGGATTGTACGGCCATATGTCTAGTGTCAACATTATTTTGCGACCCCATTTGCTAAACGGTTCGGAAAATGGCCGCCCACGATGATTGTCATGCCCTTTTTATTGTAAAAGACGTTAATAGACTTGTTCTTTGTAGAATAAAGAAAATTTTTAATATATTTCTTGTGAAAATAAAATCTCGATGTCCCACGAAATTTTAGATAGAAATCAAAATTAACATTCGTGTACATCGAGCGCTATGTGTTGTTGTCTTCAACTCTGAATGTGTGTACTGTAACTGTTTTAACCACAATAAGCAATAAAACTATTTTTTATTTCATCAATTTACGAATAATAATTTCATGCCTTGATTGGTGAAACATGGTAAACTGCGCATTCATCTAACATCTTGCAATGTATCAAATGTACTATGTTCAGCCATAAATATATTGAATTTGAATTTTGAATTTGAAACTGCGCTCTAACTAGGGAACATAGGATAATATTCAAAACGTCATACAAGTTACCACTTATTTTGATAATAACTGAGTACAATGAAAAAATTAGATATCAGGTAATAAACCTCAGAGACAGTTTGCTATACTTATTATATTACTGCAGTAAACGTTTATAGGTTTTAAATAGCTTGTTTAGTTACAAAACATTTGTTGCACGTCTTGAAAGAACATATGTATACTTTCAATAACTATGCGTAACAGGAAACTGGAATAATGTGGTAAATTATCAAGGTAAAGGCAAGCAAACGTATTAGTTATGAAATACAGTTCGATCTATTCTCAAAATAGAATTCTTTGAATGCCTGTTGGTGATTTATGACGCGAAGTGGTGTCAATGTCATCGGTATACTGGTTTTATGAAAAATGTGTTTCACTGTATTTGAATGGTTAGATAATATATCTTCTCTTGAAACTCGTAAATCTTTGGACACTGGACACTGGAGTAACAAATTGTATTGGTTTTATATGGTGCAGTTAAGTAATAAGTACCTATCTAGGTCCTAATAATGACTTTGATATCTTTTTGATAAGTAGATACCTACACTTCATGGTGTTATTCTTATTTTAAGACCGTGAAGAAAAAGTTTGATCTCGATCTGTAGCGCAATTAAACCGCTTTTTCTCTTTCATTAATATTTTCAGTTTATTTTAAAATCGTTTCATTTAGGTTCGTACTTCACCTACATCATGTTGACAACTTTCTATGAATTTCTACAACAAAAATAAACAGTGGATGTGACCGTGCCCGTTTGCAATCACCGCGAAGGTCCACGTTTAGATTGGAAAATTAAAAATAACTATTTGTTTGACGAGGTTAACAACTGACTGTCGCATCTCGTCACAAGTCAAAACCACAACCACTAAATGACACTTGGTTTATTATCTCTTCGAGTATTTTTTGCGTGTGACAAGACCGATATTATTAATAGTAGATTTCTTAATTTTAGTTTTAATTTCACATCACAGACAGAGATCACAGACAGTTTGACCTTCCTTACATAATCGAACTGATGAATATTATATTCTTGAATAAATTGCAAACGAAATGAAAGTTTAAAACTTTCATGAGGACAAATTAAAACTAAAACTCTAAGCTGCCGTTTACTTGTTTTCAGCGTAAAACTGTGTCATATATTTTGGCTTAAAGAATAAATTCATCTTTCTTTTGTTTATAAATAACCTGTAACCGGAACAAATATACGGCACACCGTCTGAAGCGAAGGTGCGAATCGATGCGCGGGCGCCTTAAGCTCAGCCACAAAGCTTCGCAGCGCTAGTCGGCCTGCACACTCGACACAGAGCACACGCGCTCACACGCGCACGCGAGTCTCCCGCCCGCTACGATCGCGATTATCAAACCAAAATAAACTATAAGCTTTTGAGGACTTTTATAAACAAATATGCCCGAATAAATAAATCGAGATGTCGTTCTGTAGAATAACTGGCCGCAGTCGAGGGCTACCGAAGCCCAACTATTTCCCGCTACTCGCCCCTATTTCACCTGCTGACGCCAAGCGATGCTGCAGGATCACCGGAAAATCCTATGGGCTGCCTTCACACCACTACATTCCAGTACTTCTAACCGCCCGCTCATCGAAGGCAAAATGTAAAATAACAAACGTATCCGGCGAACTGGGACCACATCACTACTCCCCTGAGATAAACTATGGCAATAGAAAACACGAGATTCTTCCAGACTACAGATATATTTTCCCTGTACTCGATGGCTCTACGGAAGCACAGAAAAGCCTGTTGGAAATGTTACTCGGCAAACAAGTTACAGAAGATAAGCGTTACGTGTATACAGTGCAAGAGAGAAGATGCAGTTTGGTGTTTTCCGCTCAAATGGAAGCGGCAGTGCGAGATGGTGACGTCAGAGATGTCATGCTGGCTAAGGATTCTGATACTGTGTTGATAAAAACAAAGCATGGTCGCAGTGTCTCTATGGACTTCAAGGATTTCACTGAAGACGTTGAAATGTTTGAAGGTGAAGGACCTAATGCTGAGGTGCTAAAACAAAGAGAAATTGAAGAATTAGAAGAAAAGAAGAAGAAGAGAAAAAGAGCTGCTGGACTGTCTTCTATGAAGAAAATATTTGAAAACAAAGAGAAATTAGCAGAGGTAGAAGAACTTGAAGAAGAAAAGTTACGTGTCGAACGAAAAGCGAAAAAGGCTAAGTTTGAAGAAGTTAAACATGATGTCAAAACATTTAGCTATAATAGCTTTGATGTACACCACATGCGGTCAAAGTCAAGTATTATTGCATGCGCTAGTGAATGGAGAGAACAAATGCACCCAATTATCGAAACGTGGGATTGGGAAACATTTGAGAAAGATGTAACTAACGAGCGCATCGTACCTAAAGCAACTAAATTACCGACTCCGGTAAAAATAACTCCACACCACTGTGATGCGGAAATTTATGAAGTTGACCGAAATGTCGGTGAAGTGTCCATACCATTAGAAGTAGTGCCTTGTGTCAACCCTTTAAAACCAATAAAGACACGTCCCACGGAAACAGTTTTGAGTGCCGTTAAGGAAATACCAAAAGAACGTTTGACCGATACCGCAGATATTATAGAAAAGTTAGTGGAAAGTGATAAAGTTGATCTTCTTCCAACAATGGAACATCTTTCTGAAGTTGTGAAAAATATTAAAAAAGGAAAGAGAGAAAAAGTGGCTAAAATATCCGGTCTTACATTAGATATAAATAAAGCGAAGACATTTATTCCTGGACAAGTGGTTAATACACCACAAGGTCCTGTTTTCGTGCCCGGTCAAACAGTTGACACTCCTATCGGCCCCGTATTTGTTCCTGGTTTAAGTGTAAATACTCCAGCTGGTCCTGGATTGATTCCTGGTCACATTGTTACCAATGAAAACACAAATGAACCTTTCTTCCTTGCGGGTCAAGTACTGCAAACATCAAATGGGGAAGAATTTGTTTGTGGGCAAACAATAAAAAATAAAGACGATACTTATCGCTTTGCTGAAGGCCAAACTGTACTTTCTGAAGAAGGCCTCAAGTTCGTGCCTGGTAAAATAATAAATACTGGTCCCGAGGATGTGTTTGTACCTGGACAAACTTTGATGACACCCGAAGGAGTACAATTTATTCCAGGACAAACAATAATGGAAAATGATGGCATAACATTCACTCCTGGACAAAATGCAAAGATTAACAATGAGTGGCAGTTTGTACCTGGACAAGTGTTGCATCAAGATGACGAATTGCACTTCGTACCAGGAGCCACGATAGCTACACCCAATGGTCTCAAATTTGTTCCCGGTCAGACAGTTTCTATTGATGGCGAAACTCTTTTTATACCTGGCATTACGAAAACAAGAAGCAACAATGAGCTGGAGTTTGTTCCTGGAACTACTGTTGAAACTATCGATGGGCCGAAGTTTATTGAAGGACAATTAGTACACACTGACTGTGGTGAAAAATTCATGCCAGGAAAAACAATCGTACAAGCAGACGGACATGTTGAATTTTCTGTTGCAAAGTCCATTGAAGATATCACATTCTGTGAAGGTGCACCCGTAGGGTTGCCTATTGATATAAAAACATGTTCCCTTTCTGAAGAATCATTGTATGTATTTGGACACATGGTGCAAACAGCGAAAGGAATTGAATTTTATCCCGGACCAAGGATGCCAAAACTAGAAGGCAAGGTCGTCCCAGGGCGACTTGTAAAGAATGAAGCAAATGAATCTCGATTTGTTCCTGGAATGATGGTTGAAGGCATATTCGTTCCTGGTCAAATAGTGTTTACGGAAAATGGAGAACAATTTGTTCCCGGTCAAGTGGTTGATACAGCTGATGGACCCAAATTTGTTCCTGGACAAGTTGTAAATACCAAATCTGGACCTAAATTTGTTCCTGGTCAGACCATACATACAATCGATGGTCCACGTTTCGTACCAGGCCAAATTATTGAAACTAAAGCAGGTCCAACATTCATCCCAGGTCAAGTCATTTCCACAGAAGATGAAGGTTCTAGGTTCGTGCCCGGTCAAGTAGTTGATACCGAGGAAGGTCCAAGATTTGTCCCCGGTAGAGTCATAGAGACTGATGATAATGGCGTAACGTTTATTCCTGGACAAATTGTTCAGACTCCGGAAGGATTAAAGTTCGTTGCTCCCGATCTTACTGAGGGTGATGAAGGACTTGAGTTTTCTGTTCAGAGTTTTGTTGTTACTCCTGAAGAATTAAAGTTACTCAAAGTCAAAACAAACCCGAACGATACAACTTCAACAAAAGGAGAATTGACTATAGATACGAACATGCTACGACAACTTTCTGAAGCTGGAATGTCAATTGGTAGACAAGTACCCGCTGAGTTACCTGCTATCAACGTTGTACTAAATCACACAAGAAATGCTGAAGCATTGAAGGCTTTTGTAACAGATTTTGGTTTAAAAGATGAAGTGGCAAATCAATTGATGGATGTGATTACTTCGATAATTGAAATGAGTGCCCATTTGAAATCCGAAATCCACGAAAACCACAAAGAAAATGGATTACCAAATGATATGAAAAAGAAAAATGGCAAGAAACGAATGGATATACAAGACCATGTTGGGTTTTCCGGCGGCAATGGACAATCAGCTCATCAAGAACATGTTAAAAACTCTATCGCTGCTGCTGTGCTAGCTGCTTTGGTTACTGCAGAACAATTCGAGGAAGTTAATAACAACAATAGTAAAGAAAAGTATCAAATGATTCTAAAATCCATTGACACTATTTTAGGAAAAACTATTGATGAAGACCTTGTATCTGCTATGTTTAATATTCTGCAAAAGGAAGAAGATAAAGAATTGCTTCGTGAAGAAATCCTTGAGAACTCCTCCCAGCCTAAGGTTGAATTGATCAAAATTGCCGTCAACAATACATTGCATAAACATTCCTTCACTGAAGATGACATAATTGAAAAATTCGGAGAATATCTGAGCAGTGAAAATGAAGTACTGGGGCCAGCCTTCAAAAATATTTCAAAAATCGACTCTAGCCTCCTTCATCACGTTCTTGGTCGTATTTCAGAATCTATTTCGTTCGTGAAATCTGACCGCGAAGTCACAGAAACATTACAAAAGGCGATAGTCTGTGCGGTACAAGAGGCAAGTACCAAGGAGTTGGAAGTATTATTCCAAGACAAAGATAAAGAAAATCTTAAAGAATTAATTACTCAGTCTGTCGGACTTGCGAGAATTCTCGGCCTAAGAGATGTGGCCGCTAATTTAATATCAGTGATAAATGATGAAGACAGCATGTCTAAAATAGCATCTGACCCTACAAGCCTGAACATTCTGAAGAGACTGACCGTCATGCGAAAACTAGCTGATAACACACCGAGCTTGCATTCCGCGCTACACAAACTGGAAACAGACCCATCACTGGCTCGCACAGATCCTAAACTAAGGGATTTAGTAAGAGAAAGTGCTGCGTTGATGATTGTTCCAGAGGAAACTCCATTGATGACTTCTGAAGACGTTCCATTGAATTTACTAGACCCAGAAAACAGCCTGGCAATGGAAGACTTTTTATTCCAAAGAAGAAAACAGAAAGGAGCTTTATTGATTATGAAGAAGGGTTTGCAAGCGGTGGTTCCTCGTGAAGCTAGTCGCTCCGTACTGACCGGTGAAGTGGCGTATACAGTCCTCGATGAAAATGGAATTCGACATTTTGAACCACTACACGTTTTCTCAGCTTTAAACCTCAGTCAGCCAACAGCACATCGTTTCTCGATGTACAGCTGTCCTGTAGTAGATGATGATGATGAAGACCTGCAGTCGTTCACCGGGTACTGCAACATAAGCAACAATCAGAAGATCACTAGACTGGGCGGCTGGTCGCGCAGATACAGCGGCGTCTTGTTAGACAGAGAGAACACTAGGAGTCGAATGAGTAGCTTGGAAACGACGCCAAGTTATAAACGATACCCCTCTCGTTCCATGTCCAGTTCTAGATCTAGGTCTAGTTGTAGTAGGAGCCCGCCTAAGGTAATATTTTCGACCACCGCGTAAACGCCTATTGCAATACCTAGGACGAAATGAACAATTTATTTTGTTTTGTTGCAGGTAGAAGACGTTGTGGTTGCATCAGCTGACTACTCAGCTGTTGCAGACGACGAAGTGTCTCTGAAGGCCGGCGACATCGTAGAGGTTCTCGACACCAAGTCAGCCCTCGGATCAAAGTGAGTACATATTTATTATTGGCATGAGCTTTGCACAACTGTGCCCTCATTGATGTATTTCGTAAATAAACTGTACAGACATGCGCGCGATGTGAAACTGATCGTTACTCCAACTCTAAACTCGGTTACCAAAATAATATTTAGTTAATAGTTTTTCATACACCAATTTATTAATAACAATCATCCAATTCGAAATATAACTGAACTACAAAATCTTACGACATCTGTTCATGTGTATATCTATCTAGTTGTGTAAATAATTAATTTTTGTTTATATTTTTTAAGTGTTGAATTTACAATTTCTATCATCATTCCCAGTTGAATAACACAAATATGTATAACAATACGACTCTTGTTCATAACCGATCTGTAAATAACGGCATTACCACATGTAACTAGTGGACTCCGGCGCCGCGAGGAGCTCCCACAGCGCTGGCGCCGCACATGTAACACGATACACGTAAACTCCACACGTAGAACATAACAGCCCACTGACACCTCCGAGTGGCAGTATCATACTCGCCAGCAGGAATGTGTTGCGGAAGGAGTATAAATGTCAAGAATGCATTTTAATAGCTCCGATGCGTCCAGCATTCCTGCTGCGACTTCGATACTGTGTAATTTTAGCGGCGAGTTCGTTGCACCGCCGTTTGCGCAACACACTATAATATATCTTAATTTACACGTTTGTTTTTTCCATCTCCCGTGTGAACACATTAATATCCATTATCATTTCGACGCCTTTGAATAACTACCACTGGAATCTGGCATTAATCGAAGGGACAGCTTCTTGCATCGCGAAATTTGGGTTACTGAACATGCTCGGATATTTCAAGAGCTAAACGACCTTGTGAGGCGTTTCATTCACATACTCCATAACTTCTATCAACATTGATCTTCAAAATTAAGAATGATGCATTTAGCTGACTTGTCTCTAACGTTTCAAAACCAAAACTATGGTAATGACCACACAAACTAATCAATACCACAGCAATAATAAATCACCGCTGAACAATCACGTACTAAGATCACCACCATTGCCTCACGATCACCGCTGATGACGTAATAAATAAAGACATTGTTGATGCAGGTACAGGGGCCGCGTATATTGTTACGAGAATCATTTCTTCAAAACCAGAGGTCCATCCTTGGACTATGTGTTTAGCGTTCCGACCTACAAAATGTACTATCATTGATATCGAAGACAGAAGATCGGATCATGTCGCATTGTATATATCTTCGCTTGCACACCGTCATGTATGTTGTATTTATCATTATATGTTGTGATCGACATATTACTGTATTGTGATAACTTTGTATCATTACGCCACTGTGGCTTGACACATTCATATTATGTTATATGTTTAAACGTTTGTGTATTATCTAGGAACATTTATAATAAAGGTAATAAAGTTCTCGGAGTTTCTTTTCAATGCAGAATGGTTTAGGCAGGCGAGTATACAATTTCATAATGTAAATAAAATTCCGATATGTCTGGTATTTAGTTCGCTCGAAGTAAATCAACATTGCACACGACGATACGCCTACACATAGTATCGGACATCACTCTAGAAGTTAATTTTATGGTTTGAATATATTATGTAGCTCGCTTGATGGTAAATGGTTGTCCTATTTAACAGTAACATTAATTAGTGGATCAAATCTATTCTGTAATTATTTACTGCAGTAAGTTATCTGTGTACCAATTAATCCTAAGATATTTATTTGAATTTCAGCTACTTAATAGTTGAATCATAGATACTTGTCTACCACAATTTATGCAACAAGCCATAATTACTAATTTCATGAACGAATGAATTAAACGTTGATGTCTCGTAAAATGACTGCCTCGTTGGCCGAGTTGTCGCAAGTGCGACTGCCGAGTAAGGGGTCTCGGATTCGATTCCCGGGTGGGGCAAAGTATAAAAGGGTTTTTAAAAAAAATCTCAGTTGTAGCACGGAGTCTGGAAATGTGGCCGGTAGAGGGCAACAGGCTCAGCCCCTATTACATGGGACTCATAACATAAATAGTGAAAAGTGGATGTTACATGGTACAGTGGCATTAAGTACTGTAATGTGCACCTCTGCCTACCCCTTCGGGGATAAATGGCGTGATGTTATATGTTATGATTTAAACGTTGTATCTATTTAGTTATACTTAGTTGATACTTGATTATTTCTATGCAGTTATATATTATAAGGATTATTTAAGAATAAGGAATCAAATTCTTGTGATAGAATGTAAAATAAATGTTAGTATATTTAGATGATGTTATTATTCTTGTCGTAGAAGCACACGACACACGAAGGCGCCGTATTCTTGTTCCCGCGCTAATATTTATGGCTGACTTTTATGAGAAATATAGAGTTTTTTTTCTTTAGAAACAGAATTCTGAGTCACAGATATCATTTTGAACGAAATGATATTATTTTCAACTATTTGTCCTTCGTGTACATACACGCGTTTTATCATTGTGTAATAAACAAAACATTAGTATTTATGGTAGGTAGCTAGGTATAAGGAGTTACCACTTTGGGGGCTCTGGGGTTAGACTACAATGACGTCGCGGTGCCTTGTTTAGGTGACATCGGGGAGTTAAAAATCCCACATGTTCTAGTTTTTTTTCTCCAAAGAGCTAGGTCCCTTTTGAAGGTTATGTAACAAAAATATATATTATTAAAACTCTATGCTCAAACTAATGTAGGTCAGCGACCTTCTTATAAGTTTAATACACCATAACTTTATTAGCAGCACACTATAAATAACAGATATCTATAAACCCTATTAAATCAACAAACCTATAAAACTAAGCATCATTTCTTTCTCGGAACTCAAGTATCTGGAAATTCCAGCAGTGGCAATAAAACTGGACATGAAGCATTTAAGAGGATATTTGTGAAATAACGGGAAAATTCCCAGGTAGAACCGCAGGGCAGGGTATAGGATGAAGTCTGCAGGTCTGGCGGATTGCCAGTCTCGTCCAGGTAACACATTGGCAATGGCACGTACATTTACAGTCTCATATCAAATAGTCTGTGCTTCCAACGCCACTGTAATGGACTTTTTGACGCTTCTATTGCTCTTAAAGTGTGCACGAGAATTAATTCATACGACTCACACGTTTTGCAATATTTATATGATTCGCGTGTGACAACTTTGTAAGAACTTAACATTTCTGGTCAACTGTAGGCACGTACTATCTTGGCATCTTCAGATGTGGATGAAGTAGTAAAATTTTATTCCTACAATAGACCTAGGTATGGTTATTAAGCTACTATATTTATTACGTAAAATCCTGTAAATGTAGTTAAATAATAGTAAGTTAAATGACATGAAGTTCACTCCGCTGTACTGAAGTACTTAATAGCTCCGAATATATGAATATTATCATGTGGCAATGTCAGTCTATAAACAATAAACCGAACCTGAAGAAAACCAAAACTTACAATACCTATAATATAATTATAGACGTATAATTTTAGATGTAAAGCCATAAAGAGCTAATTTTCTAAGTTGATAGATCGGCCCTGGAACAGTTATAAATGACTCCTTAATATTCTAGACCTGACCTCACCCAACCGGATTAGTCCAGCAAACACCACGTCCTAGTTCACTCGCGTAAACTTCCTCTCTACAAGGTTTTCTTGTGATTGAGTATACCAGTGCTATTTATTATGGTATTTTCAACCATAAGGTCTTTTGGAAGTATTTTCATAAAGAATGAGGTATGCCACAAAAATTCTGATGTCTGCCGCAATGGAAGATGCTAAATATTGGATGAATAATATATTATGAGCCTGTTTAGGATTGATCTTTGACCTGATGAATTTCAAGCTTCTATTTTAACTAAGCATTTTAAAAATACATGTCTAGAAAAGATTTTTAGTACCTATCTGTAAGGTTTCTTAAGTTTGGTCTGAAAAGTTAATTAATGAGATAAAAATGTGAGGATTTCAATGTAGTTGAATAATCAGAAAGATGAAAATGCCTTCCTTAAAATACTGTCATATCCATTAGTGTACGTACTTATCGTCTGTACAGATACAGTGCCAATACCTATAAATTGTTAGGTATGCTGATACAAATTCAATACATCAACATAGTAAAACGAAAACAGTTTACATTATAATTATAATATTGCACAAGTTTATTAAGGGGAGGTAGCTCCAACAATTACGAGTTAACCCCATTTCGAACTGTGTCGTATTGACGTCACGTCGTTTCTGGGACAGCCACAAATAACCGCACACGCCAACTTAGGATGTACTGTGCCTTAAATGACTGCTGGATACTTTGACGAACCGAATAATAAACTAATATGTGTCAGCTACCCAGCATCTTACCAGGGCTCCGGTGCGAAGCAGGAGTGTAGGAACGGGAACAGGGTGGTTTTCAGTCAGTAAGAATCTGACACTCCCTCGCTCCTGACCCAAGGCGAGAGAAGTCGTTAGATGATTTTCCCCCCCTCAAAAAAAAAGAAATTAGGTAAAGAGATTTTGCCAGTCATGATGACTAACCTAAGAAGATGGATGATGGAAATAGGAACACATTGACTTCTTTAATTAGTGATGGTACAAACATTTTGTGATGTGTGCGTGATGCCTGTCTGCGTGCACGGTGCGATGACTTTATCAAACGTGGCCTAAATTCAGTATTTCCCTGACGAAGTGAAACACGTACATTATTTGTGTAAAGTAAACATTTCAAGTTTAGTTAATGAAAATATTTATAGTTATGGTTTAAAAGTCATTGAACTATTAAGACATTAATATCTAATAGTCCATTTATAGTTGTTTCATACTTAGATGCACCCTCCCGCTACAAAACAAATGCCTAAAATCTATAAGATGATGCAATTTCCATGTAACATTTCTCATCCTAATTGAAACAAAAATGGTTTTCATCAAAATAAAAGTAAATATTATGACTGCCTCGTTGGCCGAGTGGTCGCAGATACGACTGCCGTGCTAAGGGTCTCGGGTTCGAATCCCGGGACGGGCTTAGTATTAATGGGCTTCTTAAAAAATCTTAGTAGTTAGCACAGAGTCTGGAATTATGAAAGGTATATGGCAATAGGCGCATCCCCTATTAAATGGGACTCATAACAGAAATAGCGGAAAGTGGGTGTTACATTGTACAGTGGCATTAAGTGCCGTAATATGCAATGAGATGTTATGTGTAAAAGTAAATATCTGCAGTTCTAGGTTGAAGTCAATTTAAGCGTACGAACCTACAAAGTACGAGATATTACGATACCTACCTAGTTTTTAAAAAATAATTTAATAAAAAGAATCTGTATTATATCTATGAATACTGCTGTGTGTAGCAGGAAAAGCTTGAGAAGAAAATTACAACTAAGGGGATGTCATATAGCAAAAACATCGGAATAAAATCATGTCTACGTTCTTTGATAATCTCATGTCAGCATAATTACCTAATAGTTTAAAATCCGATAGGTAGGTAGTCAACTCATACTTTTAGTAAAAGATAAGCAATGAGAAATAACTATATAGGTAGATCAATCTATTGTGTCTAGATAAAAAATAAGACTAGCTTTAAGTGACAGCGCCAGTGACACCAACATCACCTGCATAATTAGCTCAGTGATGGATTGCACTTGATGAGTGACCTTCAGTGACAGTGTTAATAGGTACTTAGGTAAGGTCATTCATCCTAAGCATCTATTTGCATTGTTAAATCAATATTTAAGTCCACACTTTCTCCTATTGAATCTGCACGTACTTAGTCATGAATATATTATTAATTTACTTTAAACATAGAAGTAACAAGATCTGTTTCTTCAATCAGTCTAGACAAATCACGTTAATATTTAATTATCTACTTAGCTACGAGTACGTAGCATAAAGCACTGTAATTTCCGAGTAAAAATAAAAAAATGGATGCGCACGTTTAAGTACTTAGGTGCTTCTGCCAAGAAGTGGGAAACCCGATCGTGTATCTACGACAGATCACATGATGCAACCTGATTCAGCCATGACAGTGAGGTGTCCCACCACGTCACATGGCGACGACACGCCGCAGCCTCGCCTGTCCAAACGAACATTATTTATTATAAAATATCGCCTGTATTATTTGTCAAAAAGTTACCGTAAATCACTATGTTTTATGACTGGCCGTGATGTTTCGAACCACCGTGACTCTGCTCTCGCGAACTCACAGCTTTAGCTTTCGCAATTTGATTTAGTTAAAATGGGTAAGTTGTCATATTAGGTATGTATGTAGATAAAGCATAAGCATGACTTACTTAACCTTAGTTCAAAGTGTAGAGTTGTGAGATAGCTTAGAGCGTTCGGCGGCGGCACATTTATTGACTGTGTGTTTGATAAACGTGACTTCAAATTTAGATACGTAGTGTATTTTCGTCTACTACTAGTACTACCACTAGGAAAAAAGTTTCGTGAAACGAAATAAACATTAAATGTGAAGCTTGAGCACTTGCGAGCCATGTAGGTAATTGATGATGATGAATGATGAAAACTTTAGAAGAATTATTTTTTTAGGTTCTCATATACTTATTCGTGTGAATGTATTACATCTTACACATCATAACGTAATTCCGACTTTACCTCGACGCATGTTCTAGAAACTATGCAATAAATCACCTCAACAATATATTAGGTACTTAGATAATATTTCCTTCAGTTACAGCTGACCGCTACGTACCTCAAAATATTTACTACTTGTTTACGTCAAGCAAATAAATAACACACTTTTATGAATACCTACGAACATGAGGAATTTCCCTGAAACTCATTTGGCAGACGTATCGAATTTTTCCACAACAATAAATGTTTTGAAAGATTTTCCTTTTTAAATGAACGGCTGTATGAATCACTCGATAGGGTGCACACGGTACCCAGATGAGGGCAATTTCTGAGTATAATGTACTTGAGCTGGCTAGTCATCGTTCGTCTTAGTAGTCGGCTCAGATTATTGATAATCTTCTTATAATATGGAAGGAAAGCAGGAAAATTGTATGTGGATTCGTCATGATTTGTAGGTGTGCCGGAAAATTGGTTATCGAGATTACTAGTTCTCTATAAGTCGATTGGAAGTTTTAAATACGTAACAGGATATTAAAGTTTTATCTAAACAAAAGTTAAACTTAAGTACAGATTTTGTAAAAGTTTTGTATTCTTTAAAACATATGAAACAGCAAAAATATTGAATAGTTTACGACCATTATTTTAAACAAACGTTATCTATAATAGATAGACCATTTACCATCAAGGGCTAATCAATAACTTTGTTAGGAATAAGTATAGTTACCTAAGTAGGTAGGTACCTATCATAAGCTATAACTATAAATACTACAAGAACACAATACCTACCTTTCAACTCTCAAGGTTTTCTATAGTGAAAACCATAGATTATACTCGGCCATGTTTGACCCGTAAATAATCAAATGCACATAAATAAATTCACAACTCAAACTCCAACAAGACTCTTTAAACAGAAGAAGAACAGACTACAAATACTACAAATCGATGCCAATACAATCTTCTTTAAACTCGTGTCCTCCTCATGAATGAAGACTAACAACCATTTCATCCAATAACATGGTCCCTACCCGTCCAGGAATTCCCGGCTCGACCCTGAGCTGGACATCAAGGCCGAACTATTGGACGCCTCCGCTGCCAAGCACAAGCTGGCTGTACGACCCAAGAAGAACCACCCCAGGAAAAAGACTGTCACCTCCAAGACTTATGACGAAGGAAGGTAAGAGGAATTAGAATAAGAAGTACAGAGTAAAGAGCTTATAATGTATATAATGTATGATAAATAGTAGATAAGTATAAGAGGACCAAAACGGAAATGTTTGCACAAATACAATTAGGTAATTCAAAAAGAAATCTTCGCGATAAGCAATTTGGCAATACTTAAATTCAAGTAGGTATAGTTTTATTTATGTTTCGGCACTTTAGGCTATCGTCCTCCGTAATTCGCCATTGCCACATTTTTTTTGCTTTATTTATGATTAGAAAGCTTAGAATGGTATCAAATCGACACTAAGTATTAATGTCCTTTTAACTCCACACTGATTTTCAACGTTACAAAACCTAGGTATCAAAGAACCATCAGGCCACCACGAATGGGGCCCAATAGGGCTGATGCCGATACGGAGCCGGGGAGAACGTAAAAGGTTACCGGGGCTTAGGCTCGAAGTGCAGGAGTAGGAACGGGGTGGTTTTTAGTCAGTATGAGTCTGTCACTCCTTCGCGCCTCACCCAGGTGCGAGAAGTCATTTGATGATTTCCCCCCATAAAAAAGGTCACCGTGAATGTTCCTGTGGATGGAGTCGTCAGAAAGAACAATATAGCAACAAGTTGTCGTGACCGTGTTAACATCTGGGCGTGTGTTCATGTGTTGTCTCGTCTCAGTATATAACTGAGTACATAATGTGTCTGTTACATAACAATGATGTATTAGTGTGCGGTTAAAAGCTAGGCGACCTCATTACGTAGAGTTACGAAATATCGCGTGATTTGCGAATACTGTCGCCTAGCGGTGACACGCGGTGTCACCTCAGAATTTTGTTAAATGCTAAACTGAATTTAGTAAGTAACAGTAAATTATTAAAGTAAATGTTTTTTTTATTAATAATCCTTGTAGGTATCTTCTAATGCGAGTCTTTACAAACCCCTGCGAGGCTGTGAATTTATTCAAGTGGTTCTACTAAGTAACGACCAAAAAAGACAGAGTTCTTTAAAAGGAATTGTTGGCCATTTTGTAAAAATAATACTCACTTTTTGGTAAAGTATGTAGGTAACAACAAAGTTAAGCAAGAAATACCTCTACAGACAAACAGCCCTCGTGTATACATAGCAAAGCTTAGTCTAGCCGCCATTGACAGGCTAGTAATGGCTTCCTCTCCCAGCAGCTTGACATAAAAATATGAGTACACAAGTAACCACTCCGAGATGTCGGTCAAGATCCGAGCGTGACCGAACATGCCCGATGCAGTTTTTAATAGTTCGTCCCCAATAACTAATACTTTCGAATATTAAATTAAGATTCGAGCTTTGATCTTATTTATTTGATAGTCGACAAGTCTAGCTGATTATTAAAATATAAAAATTAATGTGCTTGTCGCCTGTATATTTTCAAATCAGAAGTGGATTACGTTTCCAAAAATATATGCTTGTAGTGTAGCTAACTGTTACGTGACTATAACCTTTCAGTTATTAATTCTAGACTTCTATATCCATCATAATAAGTCTGACTTATAATATAAGTCTTAAACTTTGACCTTTCAGTACAGAATACGTGAGAAAAAGTAATTTTCCTGTGTATATTTCCCCTGTCTATTCCTTCCTGCGCTTGATGGATATGTTTGGTTTAAGATCCAATGATTTATTTGTTTCTATCAATCCCACATACTTAAGTGTAACCTTTTTTTGGTCGTTGGTATCCTACGTCAATGTTAGAGGAAAATCAAATTGAAAATTTCCATTTACTAGAGATTAAACATTAGGTGCCTACTTTAAAACATTTTCCTCCTTTCGTTCACGGTATCGAGTCTTAACTTCAGTAAATGTAACTCCACCGATATGAACATCGTTTTTATGATGAGTACGTACAGTCGGTTGGAACATTAAAGTACCAACATAAAGATTCAAGACGTATATTCCGTATAGCCGAATGTAATGTGGCCTGATGGAAACCAGACGGCCGGTCGCCCCGTGCGTAACCGAATGGTTGACCGGTGTCAATGGGTACTACCTCGATTGATGTACATACGTACATATGCATATGAGCATAGACCTGATTTTTACACCAAATACAGAATTTGTAGATTTTGATGTTAAAGATGTTAACACCATAGTTGTTTTCAGGCTCCATCCCTATAATTGGGCAACCTGACTTAGTTTTTCGGTTAACATTAGTGCCTGACTTATTCATTTCATTGACGTCTGTGTTGTGTTGTGGATTTTTTATTTATTCGCTAACTGATCTAAGTATCAATAAAGTTATCCGATAAAGATTACCCATATACCATCATCGGTTAATGTGTAAAATTAAACACCAGGAATTTGATACAGTCTAGCGGTCGGCGCCAGATCGTGAAAGCACCGCCAGGTGCGTTGGCGAGCCCTTGCACATGCACTCAACATGTGTCATTGATTATGACTAATGTCGTACGCTTATGAAAATTTAATCGAATTTATTACACACGTGTCATGAAGATTACTGATACATTGTATTTTCTTTTCAAAAACAATGTTTTCATTGTACAATGCCGTGATGGGCGCAGTAGTGCTGTGATTCACCTATGGGCAATGAGATTCCTACGTGTTTGTAGAATCAAATCAAGTCTATATATCTTTTAAATGCCACATACGACCAAATCACGGGAATACATACATACATACATAACTTCACGCCTGTCTCCCATGGGGGTAGGCAGAGACTAAGGAACGCCAATTACTACGATTCTTACATACCTCTTTCGCTTTATTAACAGTCATTAATCTTTTCATTTCATTCAAGGGTACTTTTAATTTGGCCCTTCTTTAATATATCGCCAATCTGGTCACTATATGTCCGTCTAGGGCGCCCTCTACCGACGGCCCCATTCATATACGGGAATAGAAATCTTTAAAGTTATATTACTTCAAATAAAAACTAAAATACCTACTAGACCTTTGTAAAACAGTTTCATAACTAATAATAAACAGTTTACACAGTGTATTAGCTAAACTAATAACAGCTTTGTTATATTATTACAGCACTTCACTCTGTACACATTTAGGTCAACACGCTCCAGAGTAAATAAGGCATCTTTATTTGTATCCACTTCTCATACTTTTATAGTAATGTCTACATTACTGTGATGACTTGGCTCGCTGCCACCTTTAGCTTCCCACTTCAGAACATTTGCCCAATTCTGTTCAACGCGATGCCTTTCGCGGCCGTTAAGGTTTCTGAGAACTGTAGCATGATTTATGCAAGGCCTAAGTATCTCGTCGAAACATTATCTAGCTGATTCTATGCATGAGCGATTACATTTTGTTAGTTTTAAAATTTTATTAAATGAGATGGCATTGGTAGACATATCTACAACTGTTATTAACTGGTATTAACTAGCTCAACACTAACTAAAAGTGTTTACGGTATACCGTAAAGTTTATGGTGAATCTCCTCGTAATGTAAATATGAAATGAAGCCATCAAACAAATTGAAAGAAATCGTGTCAATAACCTCTTACTAGACCCAACTACCACCATCTTAAAGAAGTATTCGTCCATCAAAACAACGATTATAACAATAGACAGACCTCGTTTACAAACTAATGGATCATAAATAACTCGAGCACGTAAATCTTTAAACAAATTTACGAAATGCATTTTTATATTGCATAAATAATCTCATTACTTTACGGCTGGTCAACGGCCTCTGTGCGGAGAGAAAACTTCGCAACTACATAATCATTTTGCGGATGCGTGAGCTCCGCCAGTTTCAGGCGACCTGCCAACTTGTTGGAAACCTCTTCGGACACTTCATTGTTGTAAAACTTCAAAGGAGAAGGTAGGGGTCGACATGTAGTGGTTTTAAAAATTGGCTTGGTCGCTGCTCTTAAAATAATCTACGGTACATTATTAGCGTTATTAAGATGGCTTGCTCCCACTCGCCGACAAACCGTCCTGTAATATACAGTTTCACTATTCTCTTATTGTCTGGCCCAGTTACCGTCCACCTATGTGGCTAATTTGGGATCGCTGGAGAAGGCCTAATTTAAATTTTGTATGCTCCAACATCTTGAATGTCATGTTTATAATTGGCAGTACCAGCGTCCACCGCGTGTTCTCTCGCCCTATTTCTTTTGTTTATAACTCGCTGTTAAATGCATTCGTGATTTCCTGATGTTTTGACTTTTCGTTCCAATGTTTATTTTCTCGTTTTGATCGTTGCTATGCCTTTCCTTAATGTTAGAAAATATTACGAAAGTTGTCTTTTAATTTACATGATACCGTTACGTATGCGAATGTTTTTATTTAAATATCATAATTTATATAACTACATAAATATTTACAACTTAAAATTAACTACAACTAAACTATTAAATAAAAAGAAAGTAAAAGAAAACAACAAAAATTATACCCTTAATTTAGGCGTCAAAGTATTCGTCCGCATCACTATCACAGGGGAAAGTTCCCAGAAGACTGGCAGCATTGCCACGTTGAATGGCAATGCTTATTTTCTGTCCGAAGAAAAAGCCAGCCCTCTGGTCACGTGTAGAGTCGATTAGCCTACGGGCGATGTCTTTAAACACAGAGTGTGCACTGGGACCCCATGGCCCAAGTGTTTCGACCCCAAACGGCTCAAAACAGTAGTTACCCACTAGATTTGAATATTTACGCCGTTTGAGGGCCTCTGCCGCGGAAGCAGCTGCACCAACGCATGCAGCGGTGCTTAAAAGATGTGATGGCGCAAGGGTGTCTACACACGTCGCGTCCCACACCAAAGGCCTACCCATCTTCCAAGGCAGCAACGACATACCATCTGGTCTTTTGCCGTCATCACGTACCAAACCATTAGGTTCTAATACGGCTGGTACACCGGCTGAGGCAAGAGCACGACGAATGATGTCGTTGATGCTGGCATGGCGAGCTATGCGGCCTGCACTTCTGCAACAAGAAAGACCATGGTGTCCCAAGCCATCGACTCTTTCTCCACAGTGACAATAATGCGGAGAAACACAAGGAGCACCTAAACGT